GCAAGTTTACAGTTCCCCACACACAGCTAATGTGTAAGGTAAAGTCTACAGGCTTGGAAAAAGCAGTTTGTAAATGGATAGAACACTGGCTAAAAGATCGTATTCAAAGAGTAGTGGTTAATGATTCATACCCTGAGTGGTCTAGGGTTGTCAGTGGTGTACCCCAAGGTTCAATGTTGGGACCCTTACTTTTTATATATACATACATATATATATATATATATATATATATATATTTCAATCGAGGCTAACTATAAAACCTTGTTGAGGTGGTACTTGGTCCCTATTTTTATTGCGAAGATGCATCCATCTACTTCAGCATTATGTTTTCGGCGTTGTGGCCAGGTGGGTTCTATGTTTCATATCTGGTGGCAATGTCCGTTGGCGACCAGATTTCTGGATTCGCATGTTTAACTTCATTAATTCGGTGACGGGGGTAAAGATCTCCGGAGATGGCTCTCTTTCACAAATTCCCAGATAATGCTCCTACACAGTCCCGTAAATTGATCAGCTACATGTTCTTGGCAGCGAGAATTACTATGGCTAGACATTGGAAGCAATCGATTATCCCTCTCGATTGTTTTAAGAATAAATTGAACTGGATTATGATCAATAATAGACTCGTCTGTATACTACATAATAATACCAAAAAAGTTTACAAAACATGGGATCCATTATATTTCTGCGCCTTAGAATCCCCTATCTTGACCCTCTTCTCTTCTTTCCTTTTTTTTTATCTCCATCGTGCCACTTAAGTGATTTGTACCTTGGGTTTAGACTTCCCGATAACTCCCTATGGAGTTTTTTATCTTTGGTTACGTGATCATCCCAACCAGCAAAGAGACATCCCCATTCAGCAAAGAGACAGCTCATCCAGCAAAGAGACATACTGCCCAGCAAAAACACAGCTTGTCCAGCAAACAGACAGCCCGTGCAGCAAAGAGAAAACTCAACCAGTAAAGCAGTGTTTCTCAACTCCAGTCCTCATGGACCCCCAACAGGTCATGTTTTCAGGATTTCCCTCAGATGAAACAGCTGTGGTAATTACTAAGGCAGTGAAACTGATCAAATCACCTGTGCAAAATAATGGAAATCCTGAAAACATGACCTGTTGGGGGTCCATGAGGACTGGAGTTGAGAAACACTGCAGTAAAGAGACAGCCCGTCCAACAAAAGAGACATCTTGCCCAGCAAAGACCCAGCCCCATCCAGTAAAGAGACAGCCCGTCCAGCCAGTACACAAAGCAAGGTCTATAAAGACATGGATGAGCGAGTTTGGGGTGGAGGAACTTGATTGGTCTACACAGAGTCCTGACCTCAACCCGATAGAATACCTTTGGGAAGAATTAGAGTGGAGATTGTGAGCCAGGTCTTCTCGTCTGACATCCATGCCTAACCTCACAAATGCACTTCTGGAAGAATGGTCAAACATTCCTATAGACACACTCCTAAACCTTGTGGACAGCCTTCCCAGAAGAGTTGAAGCTGTAATAGCTGCAAAGGACTAAGACTGGGATGCCATTTAAGTTCATGTACGTTTAAAGGCAGGAGTCCCAATACTGTTGGCAATATAGTGTATAGAAAATTATTAAGGTTTTCTTTTGTTCTAACGTGTCACTTTTATTTTCTAGTGTGAGTGGGAGTGAACCCGAGAAGTAGGGTTGCCACTTCATCCTTTTAAACCCGAACACATATTAATTGCACAAGTTCTGAGGCTAATTTTATATTGTGAAGCGCTGAGCAAACCGTTGGCACTATATAAATCCTGTATAATAATAATTTAATGCAGATAAGACACTAGTTGAGTTTAATTACCACCTTAACCAGCCACAGAACCTGTGTCATTAATATGTGTTCGGTTTTAAAGGGATGAGGTGGCAACCATACTGTGAAGGGATAGTGAAAGATAAGATTGGGTTGTTGTATGAATGGGGTGGAGGGAAAGTGTGTCACTAGGGATGTTTTTTTTGTATATGTAGATGAGGGTGTTTGTGGGAAGAGTTGTAACTTTGAAGACAAGACATGAAGACAATACCAGAAGTTCAGGTGCTACAGAACATTGCCTCTGGTTGCAGCTCCTTACGAACGTTTTTAAACATTGCCCTTGGAGCAGCTCCTCATGATAGCTACTGAACATCATTCCCTGGCTGCCATACATAAACCCATCCCTCATACCATGTATTATTATTATCGTCTCCCATCCCTCCTCCACCATACCAAGTATTATTATCATAATCATCCATCCCTCCTCCACCATACCATGCATTATTATTATTAGAATCACCCATGCCTTCTCTATCATACCATGTATTACCATCCATCTCTCCTCCACCATACCATGTATTATTATATTCATCACCCATCCCTCCTCTACCATACCATGTGTTATTATCATCATCACCCATCCCTCCTCTACCATACCATGTGTTATTATTATCATCACCACCCACCCCTCCTCCACCATACCATGTATTACCACCCAACCCTCCTCCACCATACCATGTATTATTATCATCACCCATCCCTCCTCCACCATACCATGTATTATTATCATCATCACCCATCACTCCTCCACCATACCATGTATTATTATCACCCATCCCTCCTCCACCATACCATGTATTATTATCACCCATCCCTCCTCCACCATACCATGTATTATTATCATCATCACCCATCCCTCCTCCACCATACCATGTATTATCATCATCACCTATCCCTCCTCCATCATACCATGTATTATTATCATCATCACCCATCTCTCCTTCATCATACAATGTATTATTATCCACCATACCATGTATTATTATCATCACCCTTCTCTCCTCCATCATACCATGTATTATTATCATCATCACCCATCCTTCCTCCATCATACCATGTATTATTATCATCATCACCCATCCTTCCTCCATCATACCATGTATTATTATCATCATCATCCATCCCTCCTCCATCATACCATGTATTATTATCATCATCACCCATCCCTCCTCCACCATACCATGTATTATTATCATCATCACCCATCCATCCCTCCTCCACCATACCATGTATTATTATCATCACCATCACCCATCCCTTCTCCACCATACCATGCATTATTATTATCATCATCATCACCAATGCTTCCTCCACCATTCCATGTATTATTACCATCACCCATCCCTTCTCCACCATACCATGTATTATTACTATCACCCCCCCCCCCCTTCTCCACCATACCATGTATTATTACTATCCCCCATCCTTCCTCCACCATACCACGTATTAATATTACTATCACCCCCCCTCCTCCTCCACCATACCATGTATTATTACTATCACCTCCCCTCCTCCTCCACCATACCATGTATTATTACTATCACCCCCCCCCCTCCTCCTCAACCATACCATGTATTATTATTATCCCCCATCCTTCCTCCACCATACTATGTATTATTACTATCACCCACCCCTCCTCCTCCACCATACCATGTTTTATTACTATCACCTATCCTTCCTCCACCATACCATGTATTATTACTATCACCCCCCTCCTCCTCCACCATACCATGTATTATTACTATCACCCCCCCCCCCCCCCCTCCACCATACCATGTATTATTACTATCACCCCCCCCTCCTCCACCATACCATGTATTATTACTATCACCCCCCCTCCTCCTCCTCCACCATACCATGTATTATTACTATCACCCCCCTCCTCCTCCACCATACCATGTATTTATTACTATCACCCCCCCCTCCTCCTCCACCATACCATGCATGTATTATTACTATCACCCCCCCCTCCTCCTCCATCATACCATGTATTATTACTATCACCCCCCCCCTCCTCCTTCACCATACCATGTATTATTACTATCCCCCCCCCTCCTCCACCATACCATGTATTATTACTATCCCCCATACCATGTATTATTACTATCACCCCCCTCCTCCTCCACCATACCATGTATTATTACTATCAACCATCCTTCTTCCTCCACCATACCATGTATTATTACTATCACCTATCCTTCCTCCACCATACCATGTATTATTACTATCACTCCCCTCCTCCTCCACCATACCATTACTATACCTCCCCCTTCCTCCATTACCATGTATTATTACTATCACCCCTCCCCTCCTCCTCCACCATACCATGTATTATTACTATCACCCCCTTTCCTCCCACCATACCATGTATTATTACTATCACCTATCCCTTCCTACCATGTATTATTACTATCCACCATACCATGTATTATTACTACCCCCCTCACCTCCTCCACCATACCATGTATTATTACTATCCCCCATCCTCCTCCTCCACCATACCATGTATTATTACTATCTCCCCTCCCCTCCACCCATACCATGTACCATGTTATTACTATCACTCCCCTCCCTCCCACCATACCATGTGTTCACCTATCACCCCCCCCTCCTCCTCCATACCATGTATTATTACTATCACCTATCCTTCTTCCTCCACCATACCATGTATTATTACTATCACCTATCCTTCCTCCACCATACCATGTATTATTACTATCACCCCCTCCTCCTCCACCATACCATGTATTATTACTATCACCCCCCCTCCTCCACCATACCATGTATTATTACTATCACCCCCTCCACCATACCATGTATTATTACTATCACCCCCTCCCCCATACCATGTATTATTACTATCACCCCCTCCCCCATACCATGTATTATTACTATCACCCCCCTCCCCCATACCATGTATTATTACTATCACCCCCCCCCCTCCTCTTCCAGCGGCAAGAAAGGTCAGTGAGCGCCCATAGCAGAGAAAGCCTCGTTCACGCGCCACACTCCCACAGCTGGCGCTTCTGTGAGGAGGGGCGAAGGTCGCTCCAATAGGAAGCAGCACGTAGGGCACGCACATTCCTGCGCCGAGCTCTGCATCCAGGTTCGGGGGTCACCTCATCTGTATCACAGCACTGAGGGGGAGAGAGTGAGACCGAGAGAGAGAGACCACCATGGCTGCACCGGACCTAGAAAGTCTTCGTATGTCTGGAGCGGGGAAGGCTCTGGCCGTCCTGACCAGCGGGGGAGATGCACAAGGTCAGTGGAAATCACATTATCGTCTTATATGCAGAGTGTCTGAGCTGTGCCCGGCCTGGAGTCAGCTCTGCCTGTGAGGAGGATGAACACACAGGGCTCTCTTCTACATGTGTGTACAGGAAGATGTGTGCTCCTCTCTTCTACATGTGTGTATACAGGAAGATGTGTGCTCCTCTCTTCTACATGTGTGTATACAGGAAGATGTGTGCTCCTCTCTTCTACATGTGTGTGTATACAGGAAGATGCCTGCTCCTCTCTTCTACATGTGTGTACAGGAAGATGTGTGCTCCTCTCTTCTACATGTGTGTATACAGGAAGATGCCTGCTCCTCTCTTCTACATGTGTGTATACAGGAAGATGCCTGCTCCTCTCTTCTACATGTGTGTACAGGAAGATGCCTGCTCCTCTCTTCTACAGAGAAGATGTGTGCTGAGCCGCTACATGTGCATCCACTTCAGGCAGCCCATAGAAGTAAATGCAGCGGTTGCACTGACAGTCACATGTCAAAATTTGACATGCAATCAGGAATGGCTGCATGGATCTGAGCTCAGATGCTGTGTTTTGGATCTGCACCCGCTCATGCCTGCATGTCAGATTTTGACATGGAACTGTATCCTTGCAGCTGCATTAGCTTCTGTGGGCTGTCTGTGCACTGCTAGGAGGTGGATGTACATGCAGCTGAACATGAAGGAGAGGGCTTAGTGCTTGTCTAAATGAGTCTTAAGGCACCATTCACATAGGCGTTTGGACACACTGCAAAATCAAGCAGCAAGAATCTGAGTCCTGTGGCTTGGATTGACAGCTGTGTGCAGATTGCAGTGGCCACTGAGCACTGTACATTGCAATGACAGACTGCCAGCAGCCACAGTATTTACCTGCGGTGATTGTGGCTCAACAAATAGCCACAGCTGCCGACAGCCTGCCATTGCATTGTTCACACTGTGTGCAGTGAACTGCATTTTTTCCCACACTAGGTCATTGCTAGGGTACATAGATAACAATTGTCCACAACACAGCACTGCTGTGATGCGCAAAATAATGCAGCAGTGGATGATAGTGCGGTACCACCATATTGCTGTGCGGAAATATGAATGAACCTGAAACGACAAACTACAGTGCGATTTTCCATAACGCACATCACACCAACCCCTGTCAGAGCCAGCACTACATTAGCCTGCAAGCTAGTGTGAACATAGCTTATGAAGCTCTGCGATAATACATTCAATGTATGTATTCAACAATACATAATATATGTATACTGTGTGTATGTGTGTGTATATATGTGTGTGTGTGTATATGTATGTATGTGTGTGTGTGTGTGTGTGTATATATATATATATATATATATATATATATATATATATATATATACATACACACACACAGGCATACTTCGATTTACGAATTTAATTCATTCTGTGGGACTTTTTGTTATTTGAAAGATTTGTAAACGGAATAGCCATTTCCCATAGGAATGCATTGAAATCCAATTAGTCCATTCCAAAGGTCAGAAATAAAGTAAATGCTACTAAAATACCGTATGAATTATTTTATCAAGTCATGCAGTATTTTAGTAGTGACAACCATGTGTTCATTTTTCAGCTGTCAGTGGGGTTCCCCACTGACAGCTGAATGTAAAAGAATTGCCGGCAATGTAAAAATAAAAATTAAACAGCGTGGGGTTCCCCCTTCTATCCATACCAAGCCCTTCGGGTCTAGTATGGATTTTGAGGGGAACTCCCACACCCAAATTTTTTCTTTTTTTTTTCTTTTTAATTCTTTTTTTGGGTCGGTGGTGGCAGGAGACATCGTGATTGATGTTGGATCTACTGCGGGGGACAGTCTGTTATTTTTCCTTTTAATAAAGGACTTGTCAAAGACATGTCCTTTCTTTTTTCACACTACACTTTTTGTTTTTTTGTGAATGAGTAGCGGGACCATGTACCCCATACTCATTCACATAGAGGGGGGCGGGATCTGAGGGGCTGCTCGCTCGTCCCTCCCCTTTCCTGACCTGCTGGACTGCATGCTCGGATAAGGGTCTGGTATGGATTTTTGGGGGGGACCCCAATGCCATTTTTTAAAAAGGTTTGGCTTGGGAGTTCCCCTCAAAATCCATACTAGACCTGAAGGGCTTGGTATGGATGGGAGGGGGAACCCCATGCGTTTTTAATTTATTATGGTGCTGGTTTTTAAATGTAATTACCGCTTTTTTTTTTTTCTTCACTATAGCTCAGAGATTCAGCTGTCCCTTTCCCCCCAGCTTTCCCCTTTTAGTTTATTCCCCCAAGTTTCTTAAAGAAAAAAGCCAGAAATCACATTTAAAAATTGGCACCTACATACACTTCGTATTGCGAAAAACAATTCGTAAAAAATTTGTAAACTGAGGTATTAATTTCAATGGATTTTCATTCGTAAACCTACCGAAAATTACGTTAACTAAGGCGTTTGTTTTCCTCACAAGGAGTTTAAGTAGCTTAATAGGCTTTTGCAAAATAAATGTTCCCATATTAATTTAAATATACATGTGTATGTATTTTTTTTTGCTGGGAGCCTGGAAGCAGTGCAGTCCTGGTTGCAATGCTCTGGCTCCTGTACGCTTTCTGCAGCTACTGATCTCCATTCAGGTGTGGACCTTCAGATAGGGGGCTGGCGGAAGTGTCAGTGGATTACGTGGGTGACATCACCATCCATGTGCTCCATTGAGAACTTTCAAGTCCCTCTGCCGCGGTGACAGATGAGACTTGTAGTGTTTTCATTTCACAGATTCCTGTGAATGAACAAACCTGGCTTTGTATGCACAGCCACGCCAATTCCAACTTTACAGGAGCCAGCAGGTAGAAGAACCTCCATAAAGGTAAATAGCCTTCAGTGTGCAGTCCCCCCTCATATTTTCTTGAGCCTGATCTTGATCCAGTGATGTGCACGAGAGCAGCTTTTCCTTCATTGGCTGAGACACAGCAGTGGGAGACATTGGCTTCTGTTTCTGTCAGTCACAGCCAGTGAGGAAGAAGCGGGAGGCAGGGCCGCGCCACGCTCTAGGTGTCTGTCTTGGTCTGGGGGCACTCAGCAGGAGGGGGATGCCATGAGCGCCAGTGGGCAACTTGAGAAAAGGAGGATTGGGGCTTCTCTGTGCAAAACCATTTTTTGTTTAATATTTTTAAAGTGAAACTGAGCAGGGGAAGATCAAGTCCCCTACCCTGCCAGGCAGGCCTGTCCTGTTTAACTCTTAGGACAGGCGGAACTTCAATACACATCCTTTTGGCAGGTAAAAACAACTCTCATATACAGTATGTATATTATCTCCTTAACAACCTCTTAGGACGTGTCTTGTATGTCCAAAGTCTGAAGTGGTTAAAGCGGATCTTTGCCCATACCAACTTGATAAAAATAATGTTCTTTAGAAAGGAATATACATTCCACATTAATAATTATGCTTCCAAAATTAGTGTGTGCTGTAAATTACCTCCAGTATTTCTTCTGTTTTGTCTTGGTGGAGGCTTATTTGTAAAAAATTTTGAAAGCCATTTCAGGAGTGTGGAAATTTGTGAAAAAACTACTTTCCAGGAAATTAATCGGTGTCCCAATCTACTTGTCCCTCATGACAATCTATTTGTCCTGATAAAAATAAATACATTTTAACTAAAAACGTATTTAAATCTGAGCTGCTTTATGGAATGTCTTTGGCTTTTAAAAAGAAAAGGGTCTTTATGGCGACTTAAATGTTTAATATTTTTAACGTTGCGCTGTTTATCTCCTCCTTCCCTCCCTGCCTGTCTCCAGCATCGCACGTGGGGAAGAGCAGGGAGGGGAGAGACCTTGAGGTGTAATGAGTACTGATTGGCTGCTCGTCAGCAAAGGGGTGTGTCGTACTTATCCTTTATCCCTTTCGCTGCCGGAGCCATTTTTACACGTTTAAAAAAAATCATTCAAGGCCTGAAGACTATACAAAACCCCCAAATATGATATATTTTCTGAAAGCAGAGACCATAGAGAATAAAATAGCGTTAGTTCCAATTTTTTATGTCACATGATATTATCACAAAGGTCTAGGAAACGCAACATTTCAGTAAAAAATACACTTTAATTAATTTTAGGGCACAAAGAGCAATAAATTATCCAATTTTTTTGTAAAATATAAAAGTGGAGGTTGCATCGAGTAAATAGATATCCAGCATGTCAAACCTTAAATTTGCGTGCGCTCGTGAAATGGCAACAAATTTCAGTACCCTATATTTTCTGTAGGTGATATTTAAAGCTCCTTATAGGTCATCAGTTTAGCGATACAGAAGTGGTCTGGTTTCTAGAATTATTGCTCTCGTTCTGGCGTACTTGGTGATATGTAACATGTGTATCGCAAATGTCATTTTCATGTGTAGGCACACCAGTACGTGCTTTTACATTTGTGCATCCGTACATATGTGGACGTGTGGGGTCTTGAAAAATTTGGGGGGAAGAGGGCAGTTATATGCTATGGTGCAACTTACATTTTTTTTTTACGTAACTTTTTTATCCCATAGGGAACAAAAAATCCTCTGTGATAATTTTTGATAACAGGTTCTCTTTTTTGAGACTTCTGGGGTCTAAAAGACCCCGAAAGTCTCCCCTGTGCTCCCCTGAATGTAATGCAGTGCACATCATACTGCATTACATTCTTTCTCGGCCTCGATGGCCAGGAATCTGACAATGGGGACCCGGAAGTGACGTCACATTACTTCCGGGTCAGGACAAGAAGGGAAGGGGGCAGACGTGTCCGCTCTCCTCCCTCCTCTATAACCATATCCTGACATACCACCGGCACCCACTGAACCAGTACTGGGCCTGCAGATGGGCAAGCGAAGCCCGGGACATATAGGGGGCAGCGGCTGGCACTGTGGGCTGTGTGGAAGCAATCGGGTGGCAGCGCTGCCACCTGACAGGTGGGCCCTGCTGCTTGTCCGCAGCAGGGCTAAAGGCATAAAAAAACTACCTGCCCGCTGCCCAGAACTACATGTCCCGGG